AGTGCCCCTCTGGGCATCGGGGTCCGCTCACCCCATCGCCCCTTTCCATGAATGGCTAACGGGGCCCTGGGGGATGAGCCCCAACCCCAGCCCTGCTCTTGGGACCCTGCACCACGGTGGGGTCTGGGCCAAAGCTGCCAGTTCCCTTCAGCAGGGTCACAGCTGCTCTTACAAGATTTAATTAAGGCAGCTGCTATAAGTGTTTCAGCAAATTAGTTCCCGTTAAAGAAATTTCAGGCACTCACTGCAATCTGCATAGCAAGGGGGGGGATCCTCAGGATGGGTGCAGGAACCAGAGTCTTGATCTTCTGTGCTTGGGGGGGAGGCGGGAACAAAAAAACAAACCACAGAAAACAAAGAAAGTCACAAACTTGAAATTCATGCCATTTCTTTCCCCCCTATTTTAACTCCGTGCTCATTGTCAGTAAACAGCAGCTTAGAAGAAGGGCCCAGAGGCACTTGGAGAAAAGAACATCATATGCAAAAGTTTTCAGAGTAAACTCTGAAACAGCTCTTGGAGGCCCCAAGGAACAGCAGCTCCACCGTGCTCCAGCTGAGCAAGCGAGGCTGACGTTTCCACGCAAATAAGTTATACCAGCAGGCAAGCACCCGCGCATGGTGAGAGCAGAAATAAAGTACTTTTGTCTTTTTTTTTTTTTTACCACCCACCATAATTGTTTGGGTCCCAGAGGCAGCTCATTTACATGCAAATGCTCAGCCCGGGGTAGGTGTGTCACCGTGGCTGAATTGTTTGTTTTTAATGACAAGTTCTTCTGTGGTCTCCATAGGAGGGAGCCACGCGCTGCAGAGGGGTTATTTGCGCGCTCAGCAGCCGGCAGAGCCCGGGAAGGGGCCGACAGCTCAGAGTCGCGGCTGTTTCAGGGGCAAGGAGCAACTTTGCCAGCTCCAGGCGGCAGAGCTGACGCGCACCGAAGCAGCGGGGTTTCAGCTGGAGGGCGCACAGGGCAGCTGGGGGCTGCGACACAGGCTGGAGCGGAGCACCAGCTCTGCCCCAGCACGATGGGGTCCCAGCACGTGTGTCCCCAGTGCCCGACGGCTGCTCCGCCTGCACCCCACAGCAGGCAAAGCGCTGGCCTGAGCCACTCTTCCCCCAGGCCGGGGCTGGGAGTCACCCCGCTCCTCAACCCGCTCCCACACCCCGACCGTGGCCCGGACAAGGACTGGGCTGAGCCCAATCTCACAGACCCTCAGGGCAGCCGAGACCCCCCGGCCGGCCAGCGAGGATCTCACCCCTGTTTTCCACTGGGGTGTAGCTGAACAGGGAGCCAGGGCGCAGCCTGCGGTGCGAGCCAGCTGGCGCAGCCCACAGAACGGCCGGTTCAGTCAGGGGCGAATCCCCGACCTGCCCAACAGCAGCAGCAGCCGTTACCTCCGATCAGGAAGGGAAGAGCCCTGGTTCTGGCTGGAGAGCTGCAGCGGAGCAGCCTCTGCACAGGAGCAGACGAGCAGCAGCAGCGAAGGTTTGCCTGGACCCGCCGGGAGGGAGGTGTCCATTCCCCAGACCCTGGGGAGTGTCACCAGCCAGGCCGGGGTCACAGCAACAGGCTTTTCACCACAGCCACCGTTCTGCCGCCAGCCGGCAAGGCAAGACAGATGTTACCTTCCTAGAGAGGAAGCATCTTCCTTCTTGCCAAAAAGGGCAGCAGAAGTTTGGGATGACTCCCGCACCCTCCAGGGCCACCCTTTCCTCTCCTCTGGCTGCAGAACTGTTCCTCGCAGAACACGGCCCCGCTGCTGGAGAAGAGCAGGGTGAGCGCTGGCACCCCAGTGAAGGGAGAACCCAGAGCACAACGTGGAGCGCAGCGACCGAGGCTGGGAGCAGCAAGGACCGACTGGCCCTTCCTTGCCCTCCCGCATCCCTCCCGGGCAGGAGCGTCTGGGTCTCAGCAGTGGCCTTGGGGCTGCAAGGGACGGGGGGGCAGGATGGGCAGACACCCGTGCTCAACGCGGCACAGGGATGGGACTGCCGTTCCTGCCCCGGGCCCCGGAGGGGCTCCAGCTACAGCGGGAGAGGAGGCGCCAAGTTCTCCAGTCCCCTCCAGCCCGGGGCTCGGCAGGGAGCGTTCCCACACAGATGGGCGTCTTGGCTCTCGTCACAGATGACGCACGAATATATTCTATGAATATTCTATTCTATTCATTCATTCAATGTCAGTATGCGAACACAGGCTCTGGGATTAACAACTACGCAGCTGTGAGACCCCAAGCTCCACAGCTCATCTGTCCCCACTGCAGCCCCTCCAGGCAGCAGGACAGACCCACCGCGGCTGCTTGCCGACGCTGCTTTGGCGTCGCAATACACCAAGCCATCAGCAGAAGAATTCAGGTCACCTCCTCCCTCCATACCCACCATGGTTACGCCTGCCGAACTGCTGAGACACTCACCTTCCCAGTGCAAATTCTGCTGCAATTCTAGAGTCCAGAAAGCATAAAACCCCAGAACACAGCAAAGCAAAGACCCCCTCACACAGTCTAGTTCGATTTTCTAGTGAATTCAGCAAAAACCTCCTCCCACAGTGAGAACAAACGGCTTCTAGCCAGAGTGACCCCTAACCCCTGCATCAAAACAAACCCAACGTGCCCCAGAGCTCAGGCTGGGCTGCCCAAGGACAATGAGCTCGTTCTCGGGCCACAGTGGCCTCTCCCCGGCTCCCACCGGAGCTCCTGGGAAAAGCCACTGTTGAAGAGAGTCTCCAGCCAGGGGCCTGGCCCCTTTCTGCTACCCGGGCTCAAGCCCCAAAGAGACCAACACACAACTCCTCTTAAACATTTTATTAATGATCAGCAACAAAAGTTTACAACAGAGAGGACAACAGAACCGGCGTGGAAGGACGGTCCAGCACAGTGCAGGGAGCGGCCCAGGACACCCACCACAGCACCCTGGAATGTAAAAGGCAGAAAGGGGCTCAGCCCAGCACCCGACCTCCTCAGGCCCTGCAGCTCCCCGCAGGGGCACGCGTGCTGCATGTCAGCCCTCAGAAAACAGCCGTGAAATTTCAGTTGACAAGGTCCCCCCCTTAGGTAACCCGTCAGGCACAAGGTGGACTCCGGCGGCAGCAGCAAGCAGGGCTCCGAGCAGCACCGGGTCCTGCTGCCTCGCGACAGGAAGAGCCTTTGGCAAAAGAGCCCCCAGGGTTCCTATGCCTCGTGCGGAGAAATCCCTCAACCTGCCAGGGAAACCGCAGAACCGATGGTCCCTGTGCCACCAGCCACCCGCCCCTCTCAGCAGCTGCCGCGCCGCTGCCTGTTACTGGAGCAGCAAACGATTCGCTGGCACCAGCCACAGCGGAGAGAGGCTTTATCCAACTAAACCCAAAGTAGCTTCGGGTCTGGTATTTGTGCAGAGGCAGCAGCCGAGAAGAGGCAGCGTGGCGAACCCCAGAGCACAGGGCCCGTCGGCACCTCCAGCAGCCGGCACACCGATGGCCCAGCGTCCCTAACCAAAAGCTTGCAGGAGGAACTGCGGGTGCCGTATCCCTTCCCCGGGGAGGCCGTTCTCGCCAGTCTGTTCAGCTGCCCCCACCACCGCCTGAAGGGCTGCTCTGGAACGCAGACTCCGGTCAGGACAGCCGAACCTGGAGGGGCAGAGGGGGCCTGGGCAGCTGCTCCATTTCCCTCCTACTAAAAGCCAGAAATGGCAGAAGGTAAAAGCACATCAACATGTTAAAACATTAGTTATAATTAAAACAGTTTTGTTTTTTTTTTTTCCTTTTGTCAAATCTCCTCCTGGGAAAGGGGACGGGGGCTGATTAACGGCGGAAGAACTAGGCAGCAGGATCCCGACTTGTTATGTCTGCATAATTAGTGCAGGAGGAGCTAGGACAGAAGAGGGTAGGACAGCACATCCTGCATGCCAGCAGCGGTGTCCCCGTTCAGGGGTCCCCTCTCGAAGAGCTGTCTGCTCCTCAAGAAGGTGAGGCTGCAGCGCTCTGCGGCCAAAACCAGGACACCCACGCATCGTCTCTCTGCTGGCCTAGTGCTTCTCCTCTTCCAGTCTCTTCATGGCCTCCAACACAGCCAGCTCTTTTGCTTCCTTCTTCTGGTTTCTAGCTTCAAACTCCAGCCTGCATCAATCACAAAATGCCATGAGATTCTCATCCATCCATATCTCTAGTAGACTAAAAGCACCTGGAGCAGGGGAGCACTGCCTTCTCCTACGCTGCTTTGTTCCGAGAGTACTTCAGAAACCTCACCAGTAACCCCCAGACTCCTCTTCGAGAGCCAGCACCCACAGCTCCCCACGACTGTTACCATCACTCCAAAGTCCTAGGCTCCCACGCTGGCCCAACACTACTTATTTCTCCCCCTGCGGAAGATGCTGCTGTTCCATGCTTGGTCTGTGCTGGGACAGACCACTTAGTGCCGTAATACCAAAAGCAAATTTACCACTGACCTGAGCCAAGGCCACTGAAGGTGAAGGGCTCAGGCCTAAAAGAGCAAAGGTCTGAAAGAAGCAACATGCTAAATCCCCAAGAATACAGCAAGGAAATGTTATCATTAATAGAGGAGGAGGAAAAATAATAAAACTGCTGTGAAGCACGTTCTGACACAGTAGAGCTTAGCTGTTCCTTTTCCTGTACGGTCCAGTACATCCACATTTCAGCAGCCTGCCCAAGCTGTGGAAGATGAAGGACCAGTTCACTATCACCTTCGATAACCCCTTCTCTTCCTGTTTGATCCCATTAATTAGTCCTCAGACAAGCTGGACGGAACAGTATGCGACAGAACTGGGAGATGAAGAAAGCCAACCTGTTCTTGATGATTCTTTGCACAATTAAATCCGTGGTGAGATTGCTGCCACTGTCCACCAGCTGGAAAATGCCGCGTCTCTTCGGTTCCTGTGAACAAACACAGCAGACTCGGCTGTGAAAAACAGGCAGGACCTCTGGGTTTACAGCTCAGCAGTGAAAGCTGAGCAGAAGTCGCGGCAGGTCCTGTGGGCACCCAGCCAGGTGCGACACAAAACTGTCTCCTAGGAGGCAGAATAAAAAACTGCTGAAAGCAAAGCTTCACGTGTATGGGAGCTGAGCAAGGCTGCCCGGGACTGGCATAGAGCAAAGATTACAGGATTTCTCATTCTGCCACGAAGGCATCAGAAACAGGCGAAACAAAACAGTGACTAAAAGAATGGAGCTGCTGTGAATGATTTACGGGCTCTGCTCCAAGTAGCTACCCTCAGGGGTGGATGAAAACCAGCATCACCTGCCAAGGACTTGCTTGGGTAGCATCCTCTGCGATACAAATTCTCAGCTCAGGAACACGAACAAAGCCCTGCTGTATTTATCAAATGCTGACAAAGAAGCACGGACAAGAGCAGCTAGTAGCTCACCTCGTACGGATCAGAACCATCCTTGTCTGGCACCACCTCGGTCATCCCATGACACACAAGTGTTACCTGGAGAAGGACACAAAGTTGCTGCCGAGATCCAAAAGATGACAGGGACTTTCCCTGCCACTGCACTCGCTGCAGCATAGCCTGGAGATCAGCAAAGCCACCCCTCCTGCACCAGGCTTGGCAGTGCATCTGGAGCTCCCTGTAATCCTGCCGAGCGGGACCACCTCTCTTCTACACCCCTGTGTTTTCCTGCACCACTTCAGCTCCCTGAGCACATCACACACCAACATCTTCATGCACATCTGTACGCAAAGACTCTCACCCTGAAGTGATCCAGCAGATCAGCAGTGACAGCGTAGGGGGCTCCAATCACCACTTCCGAGACATACTAGAAAAGAAACCAGGTAAAGAGTCCAGATTTGAGGAGAAAAAAGAAAAAGAAAAGAAAAAAGAACCAAACCAGAGGCCAGCCTGCTTCCTAAACAGACTTGAGCAGGTCATCTGGTTATAGAGTTAGGAACTCAAATAAGGGAACAAGAAAGTGGTTTTAGCAGTCACTGCTTGTCACACAGCATCTTTTTGTTCCACTAAAGAATATGCTTTCTGGTAGTGTCTATATAGCAAATCCAACAGTTAATTGCTCAGAGCACACGTTTCTGGGCCTCCCCACATTTCTTTCCCAGGAATCTTCTCCCCTGCTACAGGGAGCGGAGAGTTTTCTACAAGAACCCAGCTGTAGAGCAGAGCAGCACTCTGCAAGGCATCCTGCCTTTTCACTGCCGGTGGAACAGAGGCGGATGGGTTCAACAGCTCAGGTTAGCCAGGACGAGAGAGGAGCCTAGTGGTTCCTCCCGAGAGCACACAAGCACCTCTGGCAGCCTAAAGTGATCAGTCTTGTCTTTGCCTTCTCAGCGCACACCAAAGAACTCATGCAAGATTGTTGGCTACAGGTGAACACCACCCAGCTCCAGGCAATTTCTGGAACAGCGCAGAGGCACCTACGCTACAGGCACTTACCCTACAGGCCAAGACACTGAGTGTTCTCTCATGGATGTTCATGATGGGATAGTTCTTCCCTTTGTAGCGATTTACTTCCTAAGGCAAAGCACCAGGCACAATTAGAAGAGAGCCAAAGCAACCCCCTTTTCCTCTCACTTTCTCCCAACATGAAAATCCTGTATTGGCCAATACATCCCTTTCCTGTCTTCCAGAGCACAGCCTGCTTGTTTCAGAAAGAACAGGTGCCAAGCTGCTCTGTCTTTGGACAACGTTATATACGGACCTGATCAAAGTGCAGCCCAGCAATGATGTAGGGTTTCTCTGCCAGCTGGTGAACCTTCTCCAGGAAATCCACATGCCCAATATCTGTAGACCTGCTTAAGGAATTGAAGCTAACATGGAAAACAGGGAAAGACAGACAGAAACGGATGCATTGAAAAACCACAGTGGGAGACAGGAATCCGAACGATTTTATTTTTGCATTACGTGTCGCCTATGTCCTAAGAACAGTTGCCTCCTTCCTCCTCAGGCTCCACAGGTTCTGGGCAAAAGCCAGACATCTTTTCAGCTCCACCTTACATGGACTCAACTTTGCCTCTGTCCAGAATTTCTACCTGTTTCGGGTGTTCTGGCACAACGCCTCAAAGACTGTCCCAGGGATGAAGTGTCTGCTCCAGATGCCCTGTGCAGTCACTTGGTCTATGACAGCCAGTCCTCAAGAGGGACTAGAGCGTGATCACTACAGTGCGGAGAGTATCCGACCGCCTTCCTGAAATCCTCCAACAGCCACAAATCTCTCTAGAGAGGAGCTGTAGCTCCTTTCTCAGTGTCCTGTGACTAAGAAACTGCCAGTAAGAACTCCTGCCTCCTCCCCTCACGTGCACACCTACAGAAAAGGAAAAAAAAAAAAAAAAGAAGGGGTAAATATCCTAGTCTGGTGCCTCAAAACATGAAAACATCAAACAAAAAGACCAACGCTACTTTCTTGACAAAACAGAGTCAAGGATACGGAATAGGTCGAAGGCTCCAGCCACGTAGATGATAGTGTCTCCTGGCTGCGGTTCCTTCCCTGATGCAAACTGGATGATCTTCTGAGATGTCTGTAGGAACTGCGAGACGCCAGTCCAGGGGCTGTGACCTTTTGGCCCCTGGGAAAACACACACCACGCACGTTTCCTTTTCAGGCTCCAGGAAGGGGTTTGGACAACACACAGAATGCGGCTGCAGACAATTTGCTAGCAAGTGTCACAACTCTGAGCAGCTTGGACTTTTCACATTCCTGGCACCGAATATTTGTGCAATCTCACAAAAGCCCTTTTTGCTCTGTCAAACACAGTCTAAATCATCCCCTCAACAGCCAGCTAAGGAGATGCCGAGAAGAAAGCTCAGGAAGGAGGAAGGCAACAGGGCGGTCTCGGATTTCCAGGAGAGGCAAGGCTTACTAAGGGAGACAACACGCAACCTACCTACGCTCTTCTCAAGCCTTAAGGCAGCCTACCCATTCACCTAGCCGATGGCATGCCAAGCCGGGAAGGGATCAACCCAGAGCTCCAGCAAGGGCCAGAGCCCAGCGCCGGTGAAACCGAAGACGGAGCTTTATCCCCGCCATGTGGCAGTTTTGGAAACAGCCACCGAGTCACCCGCTCCGGCCCTGCTTGGCTCCCCTAAAGCTAGCTGCTCTACAAGACTTGAAAGAACAATGACAACTCAACCGAGACGCGGGCAAGCCATACAAACGGCAGCAGGCAGAAGGGGGGCAGCTGACAGGGGTCATGCAGGGTACCTGGTGCCCAGATATTCTCCCCGGATCCAAGCACCAGGTAACAGCCATGCTGGAGCAACAGGCCCCGTAAAGCCTGCTCAAAAAACCCAACACGGTGGAGAACAAAGAGGATGATTCAGCCTGGTCAGCAAACCCCCTGTGAGTAAAAAAGACTTACTCAAGCTGTAGGTCCAGGTGCTCGTTAGTCAGGGACAATCCAACACCCAGGAAAAAAAAAAAGGGGGCTGACAGCTCTTTAGAGGTAGCCCAAGATGTGAGCTGGACACGACGGCAGAGAACCCCAGGAGGACCGCTCTGCTGCTTGAATTCCGCAGTACAGCATGCTAACTACGTGCCTGCTACATAAACGCTTCCCAGAGCTAACGCCAACACCTTTAAAAACATGAGCACTAAAAGGAGCATCCACAGAGGCTGTCCCTAGGCTGGAACTGACGGCACTTGGGTCCCAAAGGAAGCGGCAATAAAGAATTTACAAGCAAGCCAGAAAAATAGCAAAGGCTCAATGGGCGCAGCAGCTCTACGGCACTGCTGAAGGACAGTTCACTCGCTGGCCCTGTGCGGCCACACCTGCTTATTTCACTGACTACAGTGGCTACTTTGCAGGGGCAGCAGACATTTACTGAGGTTACTACTAAACGTGGGGGAAAAAAACAAGCCTGCAACACAGGCCAGAAAGCACATTTGGAATCCTTCTCAGACAGGACAACAACCAGACGTCCACAACCAGAACTCACATTACCTTCCCAAAGTTGTCAGTGTGCTTCCGATAGTCTAGGTCCTCATCCTGAAGGGAGATAAAGAGTCAAAATGTTTAAGCACTCACATAGCTCATCCAACCAAGAACATGCTTGTGTGTGGCAGAAGTGCTGGGAAGTCCAGGCTCAGACTGCACACCACTGATCCCTGGCACTGAATGCTGACAAACTGGTTAATATCTAAACCAGAGTCATGTCCCAGCATAAGTCAGATGAAACGCGTCCTTATCTGATCCCAGCCTGGCACCACACAGTGACAGTGGATCTTGCCCAACCTGCAGACCTGATAGCGTTGCATACCTACGTCCTCCCTCAACTACGCAAGCCCCTAACAGGACAGCGTCCCTCCTTCTTCCAAAGACACTCCACTAGAGACAGGCTCAGATCTCTGCAGACAGCTAGTAGCACGGTGCCAGATCTTGGTGTGAACTTATATATTACGGCTAAGCCAATCTAACAGCTCAGTGCACTGAAAGATCTCCCTCTACCCCTGAATTCTCTTGTGGGTCCCTTGTCTTGTCCCTGCTGTTATCTAGGTGATTCCGTTCACTGGATTGCTTGTTTACCAAGTCAATTCAACTCATTAACCAACATAAAACTACTTCCTTTATCTTCCTTTGGTTAGGTTAGCTATCTACCAGGTAGTGAGCTGAGGAGACTTAAGAAAGGTCTGATAAGAGACAGCAGAAGGTAGAAGCACGCAGCTCAGTGGGAAGGAAGAGGACTTGAGGAGACTCAAGAAAGGTCTGATAAGACTAGAGACAGCAGAAGGTAGAAGCACGCAGCTCAGTGGGAAGGAAGAGGACTTTCCAATTCTGGCAGCACTGGGCTGATAGATCAATGTGGCTGCACTATGTAGTTTCACCCTCGGAGAAGCCATAGCCTAGCCTGTAGTTCCCATAATGTTCCCAAAGCCCACACCAATCACGAGGGATCGAAGCTTTTATCCCCCCACATCTTTCCAAAGCAGCATGGGCTGAGATCACACTGTGATCCCAGACGGGCTTAAGCAAACATAAGCAGGGTGTTTTGCCGCCGCTGCCCGTAATCAGCTTGCCAGTTCTCCGTGCACCTAGGAGCCAGACCCAGGAACTCCACTGCCATTTGGGACAGCAAAAGGGAAGAGCTGGCATATGCCCCGGACTCCAAACTCCCACCCAAAGCCCTCTGACTCACTATGTTGCTGTGGTGAGCCTTAGTCATGAGCAGCATGCGGCCAACGAGGTCGGTAGTGGACACACCTTGGGTGCGTTTGCATTCCCTGCAGGGAGACAAGCAAAGGATAAAGCAGAAGCCACGGGAGCATATGCCTCTTTCTCTTCCCACCATTGCCACAGGAACACCTGTGACACCTGATAAATCCAAACCAGGGACCGTCCTGAGAAAGCCTTCCTTCTACCTACTCTTGATATAAAGTTAGGGTCCATTTGCTGAGCATCTTCTTCACGCCACAGCAACTGCTCATATGAGGAAAACTTACCCTGCACAGACTTCGCAACAGAGCCAACACCCAGTGAGGCTTCAAGACCAGAACTAATATCTGCCAGGAACAGGGAGGCCCCACACATCAGTTGCTAGTCCGCGACGCCTCCCGGCAGCCAAAACGGTGGGAGCAACTGAAGCTCTGACACACGTTACAGCAAAACTAAAGTGTGACCTGAAGGTAGCTGTGTTTCATCTGACCTCCCTTCAGGACACGAACTCCCAGAAACTCTGCCCAAAACAGGATAAGAAGGTAAGAAGCGACAGGTTACCTGTATCGCCCTGCTGTCTTCACTTCTTCATAGGTATCCTTGCCATCTATCGTTAAGGTGATGTCATCTGCAGAGAGAGAAAAGCCTCAGAACTGAGCCCCAAGCCTTCCTGCACAAAAGCGGTTCTAGAATGACAGTAGTAGCTGAACAGGTCCAGCACATAAGCCAGGCCTGAACTCCTGCAATCCAAATCTCTGTGCATACACATGGAATACATCCTGCATCCCATGGAAATAATCAGGGGTTTGCAAGACTACCCTATCTGTGGAGACAAGCATATTCCGGGATGCTAAACACCATAACCGTCTGGTCCGCTGTTTTTTAGATAGTCCAGAAAATCTGAGCTGGCTGCCCTTGCAGTGAATCCAGCAGCAAGCACGACTGAATTATTGTCTGAATGACAATAAACAGCTACCATCAGTCTCGGTACTAACAAGCACCTTAATCTTAACTTCTCTAGGACTGGTTTTAGCCACTGCTTCATGTTACAGCTTTTCCAGTCAATTAAACAGTCCTCCAACAGCCAGCTCTTCCCCTCAGTGATGGCACTTCTACAGTGACACCAAGCTACCCTTCTACAGGGTTAATTCCGGTTCATCTTTGACATGGTTCCCAACTCACTCTACAAAAACACCTCTCACCTACTTTTAGCGGTAGTATAAAATCTTCACAGGTGAAAAGCTAACCTGGCTTTCGTTTGGCAAAACAGCCAGTCCACAGCGCAGGCGGCTGGCAGCTCACGAGTGCTCTCCCTCACAGTCGGGTGGCCGGCTCAGGGAAGCTGAGGAGTTCTTCTCAAACCCCACACCCTCACCTCAGGGCACAGGGACAGGGGAAGAGAACAGACTGCAAGCACAGCTCTGCGTGCCAGGAGAGAGGCAGAAACAGCGGGTCTGCTGTCCGTCACCCTCCCAGTTAAGCTCAGCTATTTCAAAACTTATCTTTTGCATAAACACAGCCTGGCAAAACCGCAGCATGCAAGGGTATTATTCAGGTAGAAGTACTGAATGATTTGGCAGAGGGGATAAACGCAGGGAAACTGGAGCAAAGGCCATGAGCGCTTCTCTGTTGCCATAATCCCTCACCAAGTCTAATAAAGGGGTCACATAACCCAAACACACATTCAGGACGGGCAATTAAGTCAATGAGGAATTTGATAATCACCCTGTCCACGTGAAAAAGTGTATCTATCTCACAGAAGATTAATGATTTATTTACATTCAGTGAAATACTTGGCTTATCGATAGCAGGTGGCCGGGATCAGATGAGGAAGGATACGTGAAATGAGTGCAAAGACTACTCCTGATTAAACCAACAAAATACCTTCAGAGGAGTAGGGAGGAGGGGCCGAGGCTGAATGAACAGGAGCAGCAGTCCCAGGGAGGGACAGAGTACACAAGCTCTGTTTCCTCAGAACACTGGTTCTCTTCAGTGACTATAAACTGAAAAGCGTTCATCGCAAGAACTAGGTCTCTGACCACACGGTCAGCTAAGCCCTTGAACAGCTTATCAGCTGGATAAAGAGAGAGAAGCTTTTCAGATCTGATCTCATCCCAGGATAAGCAGATATAAACATGATTGTATTTCTGCACACTTACCTTTTTAACAGCGTTTTTCACATTTAAGTTTTTGTAAATTATTATTTCCCCCATGCACAAATTTCTGCTGGTGCTAAGGGCAACCTCAAGATAATTGTCAGACAACGCATTTCACCTTCTAAGTGAAAGGGATGCTTAAAACCAAGGGATCTGGACACTCTTAGGGTGCCTAGCGCACAGACGTATTTCTCCAGAATACCAGAACAGGAGTAGCCATACTGCCCGGCGCAGGTGTTGGTAAGGCAGACCTCGGTGCACAAGGTATCCTCTGATGGCCAGCGCTAGCCAGAATGTTCCTCGGTTTGCAGCAGGGAAACCAAGAACACGCAAGCCCCGGAGGGCCTGTGTTAATAGAACCATTGCCTCAGAATACCACTCACCACCGTGCACACAGAAGTCACAGCTATATTTGTCCAAGGTTTCCAGTGTGGTGACATAGGGAGCTCCTGGAGCAATCTCATCCACCCACTTGATGGCTTGCACCATTTTGTACCTCTCCTCCTGTGTAAAGACAGGGGGGCCCTTGTGCTTGGCAATCTCCTCTGGGCAAGAAACAGAAAAACCCAGTTAGAAGCACATACTACAGCTATGAAGAGTCTCACCTACAGGAGCCTCACTCATTTCGTGGGTAGATGAACTTCACTGCGGGCCTAAACTCTGCTTGGAATTGATCTGTGGTAGAGAAGGAAGCCCCAGCTAGATCAGAAAATATTTTAATTCAGTTGCATTTCCTAAGTGCGTAACAAGGGCCCTGGAACTCACTCAGAAGGCAAAAGGTGTCAGTGCCTCCCTGTACCCAAGTACTTCCTACTGGGGAGACTACCTGGGCCTCCTGGCAGCCCCCGAGGGGAAACTCCCCTTTTAAACAATAGCTTCATCGGCAGCCCCCGAGAGGAAACTCCCCTTTTAAACAATAGCTTCATGCTACGCTCGGTTCATGCTAGAAAATATGCATCCATAAACCAATTTAAAATCCATCTTCACACGCAAGAACTAGTTCCTAGCACTTAACTTTCAGATGGGCTTGAAACGAGTTTTCTCCACACAGCAATGTGTTTTGGAATATCAGTTCTGCAGTTTCCACCAGCAAAACCAGACTGATTTTCAACTGGTTCAATTGTTGTTACAGCACAGAATACAGATCACCCCTCAAACGAAGCCTGTGAGCTCTGAACTACCTAACCCTCACTCCGGAAAGCGTGAAAGGGGTGACTCCAGGGAAAACTGGAGCAAAGGCTCCAGGGAAGTAAGGGTTCTTCTTTTGGAGGGTAAGTAAGGGTACTTCTCTTTTGGAGGCTGCTGCTCCTTGAGCAGATGCAGGAAGAAGCCTGCTTTGTATCAGGATATCTCCGTTCTCTCGGGGCTAACGTTGCTGGGCAATTCTAGAGGCAGGAAGAGGTGAAAAGCTGAGAAAACCTCTTACCATCTGTGTGGACTCCAACAATCAGATAATCTCCCATGGCCCGAGCCTGGCGTAGCTGGTTCGAGTGGCCATAGTGCACCATGTCATAGCTGGAAAGACAACAGCCCCGGTTCAGTCTGGGGACAGAAGGGTGCACTTTGCTGGGAAGTTGCAGGAGGTGACCTTCCCCCTTTGCAGCCTCAGTGGGAGACCTTCCCCACGGGCTCGAAGGTTTAAAGTCTCTCTGCTATCTGTTACTATACAGCGACTGACGCGTTTACCGCTAGTTCATCGGGGGAAGGCGGCAGCGCTCCGTCACGCTGCAATAAACCTGCCCCAGGCGAGGCCGGGTCGCCCCCCCCG